CCCCCCCCTCCCTACTGCCCCCCCCCACTCGATCACCTTCCACCACCCCTGCACTACACTTCCCTTATCCCCCCCCCCCCCCCATCTTCCCACCCCAGTACCACAGTGCTCTCACCACAAAATCAGCTCTCTCACCACCCTCAAGGAAGAGCTCCTCGCCTCCACAGTACATCCCATAATCCCTTTATTCCGGCACCGCCTCCTAATCCACGCATCACAGCTACAGCATCCCTCATCCGCCCACTCTCACTGCACCGCATCCTATACCCAATCATATCCTGACCTTGATCCGTGATCTTCAATCTGTGGTCTGGGCACACACACTGATCATTACATATAGAGATAGATGATTCCTTTGCAGAAAAATGGACTTTTTCAAAACACCTTAAAATCAGGTAAGTTGTCAATCCAATTGATTGGATTTTGATTGGCAAAGATATTGTTTCGTCTTTTTGGGTCGTTTACGATCGTCATGATGATAGAGCTGAGATTTTCTGATTTTCTCTTGCAACGGTCGTATATAGCCGTTTTGCATGATATTACGACGGCAAGCGTTAGTGTATACTGTCCTATACGTCAGAGATACGGTCATTTTACGACGCATATGTTAACGTTAAGTTTTTTCATGCCATGCAGTTTATGTCACGATTATATACGATTGTAATACGATGCATACCAAAGCATCAATTAACGGCCTGTTTACGGCCATATGTTAGCCATTTACTGCCGTTTGCGTCATCGTTAGCGACCCGTCTTCGTTCGCATCTGGTCGTCGTATTGCTAGAGCTGGCATCGTTTCGGATGAGCTCTATATAGTAGAAAGTTCATAAAATATTGTTCGTCAGGATTAACATAATGAAATGATATTGATTTATCACCACAACAATTGTAGCGCTAAAAAGGAAAACACCGTTATGTAATTAATCAAATAATTTACTTCAATTAACTTACAGTTCCTACTGGATTTTCCGCGTATCCCTCAAGACCAACAACTGTACCCCGAAAATGGTTAATAAATGAAGATGGATGAAATAATTCTCGATTTTGTTTATCGAGTGATTTGCCTTGCAAGACACCGTTCATACGAAGACAGCTAGCTATTTCAATATCTTCGCTGCCACCATCTTTACGACACTTTGATTTGGGATCTTTATGTGCTGCATAAAATCGTCGTAATGATTCTCGACTCAACACATAAGATGCTCCACCTGAATGATATCCTTTATCAACGATAACCTAAATAGAAGTTGAAAAAGAATTTTGATCAATGGATTTCAATGAATGGGAACGGACGAGGGACGTTTCGGCCCAACTAGAAAATGACGGTATATTACGTGAAACTTTCAGCAAATGCTCAACATAGTGATACTATTTATGCCCGAAAATTCCAGCTTGATCGGTTAAACTTTTCCTTTATTTCACTTCATGGGATGCATAGTCCCCTAAATAGGGATAAAAAGACTTCGGAGTAAACCTTGTGAACGTTCGTTCTCCACCATTTGGTTCAGACCCCGAGTTATTTTTCTAGAGACATTAACAATCAATAAGTGCTACAAAATTGCAAAGACAAGAGGCTGTAGAAAACATACCCTCGTACCAACATGAAATAGATAGTTCCCTAAAGAGAGATAAAAAATACCACCGAGTAATTCTTGTGAACCTTCGTTCTCCAATGTTCGGTTCAGACCCATAGCTATTTTTGAAGTATTAGCAGGAATTATCAATATGTGATGTATTTGCAAAAACTAGAGGCTATGAGAATACTGTGAAGATTTTCGTCAAATACGAAGTAGTGTGCATGATGCTTGGTGGGTGAGGCGGGGGGAGGAAGGGCAATATAGTGATGCCTACAATTGGACAATAGATATTTCAGTATTTTCTGCAGACCTTGAAGAAACGTAAGCATCGCTTATAAAGATGCTCTTGACGATATCGACTATCTTCCAGAAAAAAAGATTAGTTTTGGTAAATGCAAGTTGTTGATGTTTTTCAGAAACAGTATGGAATGGTGAATTTTGAAATTTTCGACAAACCAAACATTGTATACAAAACGGAGTATTCGATGTTGGTAATTTATCTTCAATTCAAGCGTACTGGTGAGACGAAAGGGCAACATTAATCGGTAAGGCTGCGATATTTCTATTCATGGGCTCATGCAATGCGGTGTCTATTACAAATTCAATGTCCTCATCATCTTTCTATATAGAAGCAATCTCAGAAATAACGCTGCACATGCTGTTAGAAAATTTCACTTCATTGCTCCTATCGACAATAATTCCACTTGGTTCTTTCTCAACGGAGTGCAAGCTGTTCTTGAATTCAGTGTCAGTACGCTAGTTCCAATACCACATACGAGCAAACATTACATATTGATGCAGAGCTTGAAAAAGGGTTGTTTGCTTTTGCTCAGACAAAATAACCTTTTGCAATACTATCTAATCGACTCCGACTCGTCGGCTTTCTGCGAGCAGCACAACAAATCCAGCCGTTAGGCATTTTACACATAAATGATGCTTCGTTACATGAGTGAAAAGTAATTGCCTTTTTTTCTCTACTTATCTCTCCTTCAAGAACAATGAAATTCGGAAGGTGCGGGCAGTTCAAACTTCAAGTAAATTTTTTTCCAACTTTTTTTTTACATCATCTGATAGAGCTTGAGCTGCTGATCACGAAATCTGCTTTTTAGCCTTCGTGAATGCTTCCTTCCGGTCGAAAAATACGAAATACTGGAAGGATGTCGTTTTATTCAAAAAACACATCTTTTCCAAAATGCGCGAAATTTTCTGCTTCATTTTTTTCTTCAGCTTCTGAAAACAATTTTTTCAGACTTAGCATCAAAAACTGAGTATAGACAGGTTTTGAAATCGACTCTAGATCCAAAACTCTACTGATGGTAGTGCCTTGAATTGTATCGAGTATGATGTGTATAGATCGATTTTGTAAACCTATCTAGTTTTTCCATGTAAATGATTTGTGAGCGCCTGTAGATGTCGTTGGTTATCATCTACAGTGTTCCGCTCTATTTATTGTCGTTCTGTTACGCAATCGATTGGAAAACACGCTCACGTGATTGAGTTAGTTGATATTACCTACATGTATATATTTATATATGGGAGTGACCAGTCAGTATGGTACCCCATTTTGATACACTCCTATTGTATGGATAAAACGTACTATTGTTCGGGTCATATAAGAGAGGATCCTAGATAACCCTGAATTGGCCCGAACAACATCATGTTTTATCCGTACAATAGTTGAGAACAGCTACTAGCTTATCGTGTGAGTTGGCAGCTTTTCTCTACTATTGTACGGATAAAACATGATGTTGTTCGAGCCAATTCAGGGTTATCTAGGATCCTCTTTTATATGACCCGAACAATAGTATGTTTTATCCTTACAA